TAAAAATAGAAAATAAAGGTCAAAGGGAAATAAATAAAATACTAAGTGGGTTATCTCCTACTAAGCGCTTGTTTTAATCATTAGCTTTATATTGTTGCTCGATTAGACTTTTCTGTGGTTGTGACACTCCTTGATCGCTTTCTTGGATGATGATGGATCGATCAGAAGCATCACTTCTCTCTCTTCCTCTCTTTCTTCGACCAGTCATGGCTTTACTTGTTTGCCATTTACTGTAATTGAATTTCCAGTTTTGTCCCATAAGACAATGGCTCTGTATGGTTTGACTTCCTTTATCGTGAAGGGTCCTGACCATCTTGAACGTGGTTATCCTGGGAAAAACTTAAGACGAGAATTGAAAAGAAGAACTTTATCATTGGGAGCAAAGGTTCGATGAATAATCTTCTTATCATGATATGCCTTAGTCTTCTTTTTGTAGATCTTCGAGTTTTCATAAGCATTGTGTCGGATTTCTTCTAACTTGTGAAGTTGAAGTAGTCTTCTTTCTCCAGCTGTTTTCCAGTTCATGTTCATCTCTTTAATAGCCAATTGTGCTTTATACTCGAGTTCTACTAGAAGGTGACACCCTTTTCCGTAAACTAGGTTGAATGGTGTTGTTCCTAATGGTGTCTTAAATGCTGTTCGATACGCCCATAATGCGTCGTCAGGTTTTGTAGACCAATCCTTGCGATGAACTGCATTTGTTTTCTGCAAAATCGACTTGATTTCTCTGTTTGAGATTTCTACTTGATTTCTAGTTGGGGATGGTATAAAGAAGAAACTTTATGCGCAACTCCATTCTTTTTAAGAAGATTTTAAAAACGTTGTTGATGAAATGCGATCATTTGTCGCTCATCGCAATTCTAGGAACTCCGAAACACGGGAATATTACAGATTTAAACAGCTCCATGACGACTTTCGCATCGTTGGTGGGACTAGCGACTGCTTCAACGCACTTAGAGACTTAGTCTACTACTACTAAGGTGTATTGGTTTCCGAAAGAAGTCAGGAATAGTCCCATAAAATCTATTCCCCATACATCAAAATTTTGACTTCGAGGATAAAATTCTGAGACATCTCCTTCCTTTTGCTTATGTTACCCATCCTTTGACATTTATCGCGATATATAAGCTTGAGTATCTTTAAACAAGGTAGGCCACTAGAAACCTGCTTGTAAGATTTTCGAAACAGTTTTGAAAGTTGTGAAATGTCCTGCGTAAGACGAGCCATGGCATCCGAATAAAATTCCTTCCATCTCTTCTTCAGCCACACATCTTCAGAATAAACCTTCAACACATCTCTTGTAGAGATAGGGTTCGTCCCAAAAATAATGTCTTACATCTCTCAGGAATTTATTTTTCCTATATCCATAAAATTGTGGTGGTTCTACATCAGCTGCTAGGTAATTCGCTATGTGCCTAAACCATGGAGAATTGAAAGCATCTGATCGTCGCATGAGTTGCCTTGGTGGTGCAGCACCGGTGGGAACTGCATCTATTGCATAGATGTTTTCTTCTGGCAAACTATCATTTAAAGGCAATCTTTCTTCAACTTGAATTCGTGAAAGATGTTCTGCAACTATATTATCTGCTACTTTCCGATCTCGAATTTCGATGTCAAATTCTTGCAATAGGAGGATCCATCTTATCAATCTCGGTTTAGTGTCTTTCTTATATATTAAATACTTATTTGCCGCATGATCATTTTGAACTATAACCTTAGATCCTACGAGATAAGAACAGAACTTCTCAAATGCAAATACGACAGCTAGAAGTTCTTTCTCTGTTGTTGCATAATATCATTGAGCTTCGTCTAGAGTTCTGCTTGCGTAGTAGATTACGTGCATTTTCTTATCTTTTCATTGGCCAAGCACTGATCCGACTGCATAGTACCTTGCATCACTCATGATTGCGAATGGGAGTTCCCAATCAGGTGCTTGCACGACTGGAGCGGAGACAAGGGCTTCTTTGATTTTATGAAACGCGGCTAAGAACTCATCATCGAATTCGAAGTTTGTTTCCTTGCAAAGCAAACGCGTAAGACGTCTAGCTATTTGAGATAAATATTTTATGAATCGCCTATAGAATCCAGGGTGTCCTAAGAAACTACGGATGCCTTTTACGTTTGTGGGAAGTTGTAGGCTTGTCATAACTTTGATTTTTGCTTTGTCAACTTTAATTCCTATTTCTGAAATCTTGTGCCCAAGCATGATTCCGTCTCGTACTATGAAGTGACATTTTCCCAATTTAATACTAAGTGCTTATCTTCACATCTTTGCAAAACTTTACCAAGGTTGGCCAGACATTTTTCGAAAGAAGATCCATAGACCGAGAAATCTTCCATGAAAACTTCCATAAAGTCTTTGTAAAGTCTGTGAAGATCGCCATCATGCATCGCTGGAAGGTAGCAGGTGCATTACACAATCTAAAGGGCATACGTCGGTAAGCGAGCATGCCATATGGACAAGTGAATGTCATTTTTTCTTGATCCTCTGGTCGAATAGGAATTTTGAAAAATATGGAGTATCCATCAAGGAAGCAATAGTAGGGGTGATTAGCTAACCTTTCTAGCATTTGATCTATGAAGGGAAGTGGAAAATGATCTTTCCTAGTTGCTGCATTCAATTTCTGGTAAACGATGCACAAACGATGTCCAGTGAATGTTCTTATAGCGATCATTTCATCTTTTTCGTTTTTAATAACAATGACTCCTCCTTTCTTCGAGACAACATGAACTGGACTAACCCAAGTGTTATCTGAGATAGGAAATATTATTCCGGCTTCTAAAAGCTTCATAATCTCCTTTTTGACAACATTCATGAGATTAGGGTTTAGTCTCCTTTGACTTTCGATTGAGTTTTTAGCATTATCCTCGAGATTGATCTTGTGCATACAAAGATCTGGAGAGATTCCATGTATGTCATCAAGTGAATATCCTAAGGCTGTTCTATGCTTTTTCAGTTCAGATAACAGCATTGTGGTTTCTTCTTCTGTCTAACCAGAGTTTATAATGATAGGATAAGTCAAATTTGGTCCAAGGTTAGCGTACTTAAGTCCGACTGGAAGAGGTTTAAGCTCGTCTTTCAGGCCTTTCAGCTCGCTTCATGGGTCATTTATTGCTGCGGCTGTGTCTTTAGGGGTGTAGGAATGTTTGTTTGGTTCTCAAGATTTAGATAGTTTAAGGGCTTTTTGTAAATTTTGGACTTATCAAGCATTCGAGCGCATTCACTTGAAATTTCTTCAAGAAAATTGCGTTCGTCTTTTGTGGTTGAAAGCGTGACACTCAAAGGGTCGTCGAGAAGTATATTTTCATATATTTCCTCAATAATTCCGTCTAGCTCATCAATCCAAAAAATTTTGCCATTCAACGTTGGTTTATCGAAACTTTTGTTCATGTCGAGTTGCATGACTAAACCGGCTAGATGAAGGTCAATTTTTCCTTCCGGGACATTGATTATAGGCCTGGCTGTAGATAGGAATAGTCTTCAAGAATAAGAGGACCCTTAGGTTCTCTTTCTAGTTCTAGGACTACGAAATTAGTTGGTATGGAACATTTTTCGATTTCAACGGGAACATCTATTAAGATACCTACGGGTTTTCTAACGGAACGATCGGCTAATACTAAGGAAATTTTAGTGGGCTGGAAAGTATGATGTCCTAAATGTTTTGCAACTGAAAGAGGCATCATGTTTATGCTCGATCCCAAATCACATAGAGCACGCTCAAAAGCCATATTATTGATAGTGCAAGAAAGTACAAAGCTTCCAGGATCGTCTTTCTTTTAAGGAATCCGGCTTTGCAGGATAGAACTACACTCATGGGTATAATCATAACACCTTCTTCAAGAGTTAAAGAATTTGTTAGAATACCCTTCATGCGCGGGAATCATAGCACAAGCTTCTACGAAAGGTAATATCACGTTTAATTGATCAATTAGCTATTTCAGCTTTGCTTTTTCTTTCTTTTTCTTCGGGGCTCTTAAGGCTCTAGGATATGGTGGTTTAGGTTTGTATACACGAGTAGGTGGAAGGGGGATCAGGTCTTCTCCTAGGATTTCACAGGATGTATCTTCTCTTAGTTATTCTCCATCCTTCTATCCTACCACATCTTTTCCAACGTCTTCAATCGTTACTCTTTCTCTTTATTTTCCTTTTTCCTTTCCATTTTCATCATCCTCGGGATCTTTAGGAAATTCAGGCTCTTTGTAAGCTAAACCACTCCTAAGTGTGATGGCTTTCACATGATCGGAGGGGTCGGCTTCGCTTGAGCTTTCAAAAGAAGTTTCACTTGGCTCCCCCTCAGAATTATCTGTGTTATTAGACTTCTTTTTAATCATCAGACTAAGGAGGGAGGAAAATTTATCATTGAAATCTTCTTGCATCATTTTTATTTCAGAGCTAAGATCACTGATTTCCCTAGACTTTGATTTTTTAAGCTCTAGAATCCTTTGTTTAGGTTTTCAGCTTCAGAATAGGGAATACTTGGATAGGGAATCGAATTAGCTTGAACAGCTCAGATTTGTTCGGAAGAGAATTTCCCGCGGTCGTATGACTCGCGACCGTGGTAGAATGGATCTTGGTCGCGATCAGATTGTCACGGCCGTGGTGAAAGCATGTTTGGCCGCGGTCCAAAAGGATGGACCCGCGTGATCAGGCACGAAAGGAAAATCTTGAATTTGATAGACTTCTTCAGTGTTCATTATCTTTTGATTATAAGAATCCATTGGGTTGGTCCAGCTATCGAAGTTACACATATTGTGTACTTTGATTGGTTGCTGCAATCCAAGTTGACTCATTAGTTGATGGTGATCCCTTCTTTCTTCTTAGGAAGTGCAGATTTTCCAAAGATTGCTTGATTACGGATACTTCCTGCCAGGTTGTTGATGAAAACATGAGCATCTTCTTCGGATCTGGTGGAAAAGTCTCCATTACTTGATGTGTCGAAAGAATGTCGTAGTTCTTGAGTACGTCTTGATAGAAGATACCCATCAAGTATTCGTCGGAATATCCATGATGTGGACAATCTCTTTGGCATTCCCTAAATCTCTCCCAAGCATCATAAAGATTTTCGTCTTCTTTTTCTTCAAAAGTTATTATCTAATTCCTTAAAAGATTGGAACGAGTTCTAGTGTCAAAGCGATTTAGAAAAGCCGCTCTACAAGCTGCCCACATTTTTATTGACACATGTTGCAAGGATTTTAGCCACTTGCTGGCATTGTCTCTCAAAGAGAATGGAAAAAGACTACACTTATGGTAATCTCCATTTGATGTAATGGTTGCACATAATTCTTCGAACGATTCGATATGGTCCGTCGGGTGTTCAGATGAATAACCATAGAATTGATTTTGTTGAACTAAGTTGATATATGGTACCTTTATTTCAGTTTTACCATCCTCTGGTAATGCTGGTTGAATAGCTCTTCGATCTCCCAAAAACTTTTCGAGTGAATCAAAACTTCCTATTAGTTCAGCATCATGTTCACGTTTTGCTGATCCAATTAGCTCCTCATCATCATTGATCGGATTTTCAAGCTCTTCATCGCTCAGGTCATCGTCGCTTGGGTCACCATCCACACGACATTGTGGATCACCGAGAGTTCCGGGAACATATTCCCGGTGTCCCATTGTAGGGAAACCTGTGAAATTCAAAAGAAAAAGTAAAAGTAAACAAGTGTTCTAATGGATTTAAGTTGGGATTCGCAACGAAACAAATCAAAGTCCCCAACAACGGCGCCAAAAACTTGATGCGATTGTAAACAGGGTGTTTGTTTTACTAAGCTTCAGGTTTTAAATTTATAACCCCTAAATGTCTGCAAGTGCACAGATGTCCGATGTAGTACTTAATGTATCGATCCATAGAGACTTAGTTGTTTCAGTACGAATTCACGCTAATGGTTGAATCAGACTAGAACTAAACAGGTTTTGGTTTTGGTTTTGAATTGTCACTAAATCTAAACTAAAAAGCAAGTAAAACGCAATTAAAAAAATAAAAGCAAGTGAAAGCAAGTAAAAATCGAAGGTTGTAAATAATTAAAAACAAACGCTGGACTCAAAGGTATCACAGCGATTCATGCACTAAAGCTATGAAGAAAATAAGTAAATGATAAAGGTAATCGACTATATATGTTCTAAACCTCGAGACACAGAAGTATGAATAGCCTACTTTCGCAGCACTAAACAACTATCTCTCGCAACCCTGACCAGTAGGTTTCCACTCTGATCCTGGAAGGGAGTGGATGCAATAGTTTGAATAAGACTCATCAACATTCACAACTCATCTATAGGTAGGTTTCCACTCCTATAGTAGAATTGCTCGTTTCACCCTAGGTCAGACAATCAGTGAAAGCTTTCGCAACAAATCTTATATAGATCAGCTTCTAAGTGGCCAGCAGAGAATCACGTAGTAAGATTAAAGGTAAACGAAGAACACCTTGAAGATTACTGATTCCTAAATCTAGCGATTCATAGAAGAAGACACATGAAATTCCCTTTGAAAAATCCCTTTAAACCTAATTGGGAAACTACTCAAACATATTGTAACAAAGCATCATGAAAGTATTGAGATTAAGGGAAATTAAAAAGAACTAAGAAAAAAAAAACGAAGAACAGAGTTGCAGGAGGAGGCACCATGATGCTCTCCCTCGGCGGGTCCTCCTTCGAAGACGGCGGCCTCCTTAGGGTTTCTGAGGCATACACACGAAAATATCTCTATCTCTCTCTAAGTCTGCGGTCTCTCTCTTTAGAATGACCTAAAGAGGGTATTTATAGTTTCCGAAGTTGTCCTGGATACTTAGGGCTTCAAAAATAATAGAAGAAATCGACTTGGGCTTTAATAAGGTCGTCTGGGAAGTGAACACTGTCTGGCCACGGTTGCGGTGCTCCTACCCGCGGGGAACTATGCTTTGGTCGCGATCCCGGCTCGTGTTGTCTTCCGAGACTGCATTTTCTTTCTTTATTGCATCGGTAGTATCTGAAGATCTAACCGTTGGATTGTTTTCAAACCAATTGAATTAGAAATTTGGTTGTATCCTCTATGTTGTCTCAAATTTTTGGGGTGATCAGACGGGAGAGGATCTTCATCGTTTGCCATACTTCTGATGGTCTGCATTTATCCAAAATTGCTCATTTGTACCAAATTTCATATCTTTTGCTTAAGTTTCCTGAAAAGTCGTTTGAAACTCGAAAACATTGAAAACACTTTAAAAACTATTGAAAACAGAGTTAAAAACATCTGCATAAGACATCATTATGATCCATAAAAAGTGGTCAAAATACAGTGTTATCACCTGATCTCACAAAAGTTTACTTCCAAAATGGGTAAGCAAGTCGAGACTACATCGTAAATCCTAAAGTTTAAGTAAACATTTTAAACCCAGTACATGCTTTTTAGCACACACACACACTTCTCAGTACACTGGTCTACGACATCTCAAAAACATAAAACATCCACAAGTTAGTATGAGATATTTAAATATGTTTTAAAACAGGTATAAGCCAAGACTACTCTGCAGGCCCTAAAACCAACGAAAGTATCCAAAACTCAGCAGTCATGTGTTCTAACACACCGGTCCTCAACATCCAGTGGACATTTTATTACCATAATTTTCACTTAGGCCTATTCTATAAGGTTTTAAACTAAAAAATGCCGACAAAACTGACATGAGACAAAATCGAGTTATAGGATCAAATAAATCAAGCCGAGCTCAAGCTAAAAAAAATCTGTGGTATGCACCAACAACGCATAAAATTATGCCTCAATCGTCGATCTCTTTGAAATCTTGACCTTGTCCACATACAAACAAGCAAATAATCGGTCAAATAATCGGCTAACTGCAAACGTTTTACAAACTAACAGATCCCGATCTCAGATTCATGAACTTGCCATGAATTCATTGCTTAGACAAAGAACCCCTAATGAAGTTATATCCTCACATGAAGAACATGGAGACAAAAGTCATGAATTTTGGGTTTCAGACCCATAAAATTTGAACTCACTTCACACTTAACTCTGACATAGAACAATTTCGTCTCGACTCATCAGAACACCACTTAAGCGTGAAAATGATTACAGAGACTTTGTTTCACTTCGAGAATAAGTTCTCTAACTCCACCTTAGGAAAAGAGGGTACTGAACGTAGAACCAAATTAGATTCACAAGTGATGAACTTGAAAGATAAAGCTCTAGAATGCACCAGAAAGAAAATGGAATCCACCAGAGAAGAAACAGGAATCCACCAGCAAAGAGAAAACTCTCAACTTTGATTAATCATAATAAGATTGACTTTCCTAAACTTTAAAAGTTGTTTGAATACTAAAACAAAACCCTAAACTGAAAAGGAAAAACCCCAAATAAACTAAAAATAAAAAAACGAAATAAAAACTAGATATTAAAAAAAAAACATAACGATTAGCCTCCTACATCAGACTTCTCCACTTCTGAAGAACTCGTCCTTAAGTTCCTTTCTTGGTAAGAGAATCACATCTGCCTTGCATGGACCATAGTTGCTAGGTTGTTGTTTGTTGTACCTCGAATTCTTTTCTTGATAACGAACGACATTCTGCCTTGCATTGACCATAGTTTTTAGGTTGCTGTTTGTTGTATCTCGAGTTATTTTTTTTTTGATAAATAAACACATCTTGCTTGAATGGACCATAATTTCTAGGCTGCAGCTTATCATACGTACTAGCTTGAAACTTCTTCTTTTGAAAGAACAACATCACAAATACACCTTCTTCTTCTCCAATTCTGAAGTTTCGTAGAATAATGGAATCAAAGCTACACCTTCTGGATTTATTTTTTTCTCCAATTTTGAAGATCCGGATAATGGAACATCTTTCTTTACGGAAAAAGCAAGATCATACTGTAGAAGTTTTTGATCATCTCTTTCTCCATGATTTCTTCTTTATCATAACTCGGATCTTCCACAATAATATCATGATTGCTCCCTTCCCTTGGAACCCTAGTTGGTTATTATCTTCTGCCTCTTTGCTGATTTATGCTGGCGTTGCTAATTTTATTTATCAACGTAGTCATCGTACTGGAAAAAAATCAGCTACAACACCATTGTTTCCATGTATATTCAAGATGTTACAAAAGATCAATGATAAACTTATGTTGTGGCTCTCCCAGAATCGATGAACATTCCTAATACCTTCAATGTAGCTAACATTCACGAGTATCAAGTAGATGGGATTTTTTATACAGAAAAGAATTTGAGGAATAGTTTTTTAGAAGTGGAGGAGACTGACGTAGGAGAGATTTAGTTTTTATTTCCTTTTTATGTTATATTTTATCTTTTCCTTTTTCTAAGTTTTACTATTTTGATAATTCCTTTTTTGGCTTCGTTTCCTCTATACATATGGATGCTCTAGGTTATTTGTAAGACACGTTATTTTCTAATTAATCAAGCTGAGAGATTTTTCTCTATTTTGATGGATTTACAGAGTTTTCTTCTTCAAGTTCATCACTAGTGAACTTGAATTCAAAGTAGGTTTAGTGTTTGCTAATCCTAGGGATTTCTGACTGCATCAGGTGGTATCAGAGCAGGCTTTCTACTGTCTTTTTTTCAAAACATGACTAGCCATGGGAGATCAATCGTTAACCAAAGCAGACTTTCAGGGTTTTACGGAGGCTTTTACCACATCCCTAGATGCTTTGACCGAACATATATTGATTTAAACAACTCAGAATAACATCAACGAAAATCAACAGAGAGATAGAGAAGAAAAAACTGTTAGGTTCAACAAAGATCATCAAAGAAACAGAGGAGAACCCCAAAATATTGGAAACAATGGTGTTGTAGCTGAGATCAGATGGAAATCGAATGAGCTTGCATGACGAAGATAGGCTGGCCCAGGGTGGAGGAGCTCGAGCCGTGGTCGGAGTTTCGTTGGCTGCGCCTCAGGCTGGGGGCTCCTCGGATTGCTTGATGGGGCTTCTTGATGTTCATGTATCTATTGATTAAACAGTTGGATTGTTCTCAAATCAAGTGTAATAGAAAGCTGGTGGGTCCCTTTTGAATATCTCGAGGTTTGGACTGGACCAGACGGTGAGAAGATCTTTATTTGAAGCGAAAAATTCTGATGGTTCGACGCTAAGCCGAAAATCTGGT